ATATATGGAATTCATGGGAGGGAATACCGTGTTGGTATTGATAACCTACTTGTCCTCCTAATTGGTGGGATCCCTATTGCTATGCCAACTGTTCTTTCTGTTACAATGGCCATTGGTTCACATCGTTTGTCTCAGCAGGTTTGTGATTGCACAAACTCCACTTCAGAGATTGATTTGGAAGATAAAATTGAAGACATTTAATAGATTTTCCTATTTAAATTCAAAGGTGCATAATAGAAATCCATGTTTTTTGCAGGGTGCCATAACAAAGAGAATGACTGCCATTGAAGAAATGGCTGGAATGGATGTACTATGCAGTGATAAAACAGGGACACTGACACTTAACAAGCTTACAGTGGACAAAAACATGGTTGAGGTATTACTTGTGTTCCCTTCAACTCACTTTAAAAGCAATGGACAACATAAAACCTAGTAAATACTTCACCCTTAGGAACATATTTTTGTAAGTTCAGTCACCGACACACATCACAGGAAGAGAGATGTACCAAAACCAACATATTTTACACACTTAAATTAAGTGATGTCCATTAGACAATTACATATCTTAGGTGATCAGTGAAAATCAAGGCAGCAAATTTTGCTAATGCATATTAAGAGAACTTTTACTAATTATTCCTATATATGAATCGAAAGCTCATGCTTTCTTCTTCTTTTTTTTCCCTGGTAAATGAAAGATTACACTTTTTCTTATAATGAAAGCCTTTTAATGAAAGATCAATATGTTGCAATTTTCATTTATTTTGATGTTATCCATGTCATGGCAGGTTTTCGCGAAAGGTGCTGACAAGGATCAGGTTATACTTATGGCTGCAAGAGCATCGAGATTAGAGAATCAAGATGCTATTGATACTGCAATTGTTTCAATGTTGGCAGACCCTAAGGAGGTATTGTCCTAATTACTCTTTCTAAATCATTGATTTTAGTCTAATCTTTAGTTTCGTGCTGATTTTTTTATGTAATTCTCATGTCAACTTTTTAAGGCAAGAGCTGGAATCAGAGAAATTCACTTCCTTCCATTCAATCCTACTGATAAAAGAACTGCACTTACATATATTGATGCTGCTGGTAAAATGCACAGGGTCAGCAAGGGTGCACCAGAGCAGGTGAAATACAGATGTCAAAAAATTTCAGCAGTCCTGTAAACCTTAAGATTGCTTACAAAAATTTTGAGCTCTAATCAAATTTATGTTATGCAGATTCTTCATCTGGCACATAACAAATCAGAAATTGAAAAGAAGGTGCATACAATGATTGACAAGTTTGCTGAACGTGGACTACGATCCCTTGGTGTTGCCCGTCAGGTAATTAATGTCATTTGAATTCTTTACTGCCTGGTGGACATGTTTTTTGGTTTAGATTTTTGAGACAGAGATTTCCTCCAGGAAGTACCTGCTGGAACCAAAGATAGTCCTGGTGGCCCCTGGGAATTTGTTGGCCTTCTCCCTCTCTTTGACCCTCCTCGCCATGATAGTGCTGAAACAATCAGAAGAGCTCTGGATCTTGGTGTCAGTGTTAAAATGATCACTGGTACATACCACTAATTTTTTATTTTTACTGGAATTTTCTTTTTCCTTCATATACAGTTTCACCATAAGCTATTAGAGATGTAACCTTCATGCATCACCATTTGCAGGGGACCAACTTGCAATTGGTAAGGAAACAGGAAGGAGGCTTGGGATGGGCACAAACATGTATCCCTCTTCAGCTCTGCTTGGTGAAAGTAAGGATGGGGATCTTGCTACCATCCCCATTGATGAACTCATTGAAAAAGCTGACGGTTTTGCTGGCGTCTTTCCTGGTTAGCCTTGTTCTTTTATTATTTAAGCGCTGTGGATTTGATTGTTTTATTCTGTTTCTCCTCATATCTTTCTTTCCCTTCAGAGCATAAATATGAGATTGTGAAGAGATTACAAGGTAGAAAACATATCTGTGGAATGACTGGTGATGGAGTGAATGATGCCCCTGCCTTAAAGAAAGCTGACATTGGAATTGCAGTAGCAGATTCCACAGATGCTGCCCGCAGTGCTTCTGATATAGTCTTAACAGAACCTGGATTGAGTGTAATCATTAGTGCTGTGTTAACAAGTCGTGCTATCTTCCAGAGAATGAAAAACTATACGGTAACCTAATGATTTCAAAACATCCATGAACTACTTAGTAAAATATTTAATTGTCTAGAACACCTGCTTAGTTTCTTTTTCTTGTTTCCCCTTCCCAGATATATGCTGTGTCGATCACCATACGTATTGTGGTAAGCTTCCCATTTAAGTAACTTTTTTTATATGGAATCTTATAGAATGTTTCTTGCCATCAATCTTATCTCATTTCCAACATAAATGTGTATTACAGCTCGGTTTTATGTTGTTGGCTGTCTTCTGGAAATTCGACTTTCCTCCTTTTATGGTTCTTGTCATTGCTGTTCTTAATGATGGTTAGCTTTTCTAGTTTTACCCTTTTCCATCCATTTAATGAATTTTTGCTCCTGCTCATTACCTAACTTGTTAGCTTGCTGATAGGTACTATAATGACCATATCGAAAGATAGGGTCAAACCGTCTCCATTTCCCGACAGTTGGAAGCTCAGTGAAATTTTTGTAACTGGAATTGCTCTTGGTGGTTACCTGGGTCTAACGACTGTTTTGTTCTTCTGGATATCCCATGAAACCAACTTCTTTCCGGTAAATGGCCTCCCTTTTCTTGTCATGTTGTGAAGAATTTCATAAAACTTCGAACTTTTGTGGTTGGCTAACAAAATTCAGGGTGCCCTTTTAAATTTTATACATAGCGGATGTTTTCTTCCTAAGTGTTTTTGTTACAAAAGAAGTTATGTCTTTTGTTGTTTAAAATAGGGTTGTATTCTACAGCTGATATGGTCATTGCAAAGTCTATTGTATATTTGCTTAAAGAATAGATGAAATCGTGGATAGATTTTCATTACTTTCTTGACTTTGGACACTGACCTTTCTTCTTGCAGGAAAAATTTGGTGTGAGAGACTTCAATCAACACCATTTTAATATGACAAATAAGAAAGTTGCTGCTAAACTAAACGACCAGATGTCGTCTGCTCTGTATCTTCAAATCAGCACCATCAGCCAGGCCTTGATATTTGTCACTCGCTCCCGGGGTTGGTCTTTCACCGAAAGACCTGGCTTTTTGCTTGTTATTGCCTTCATCGTTGCTCAACTGGTAATGAGTTTATAATCTGGTTACATGAAACATACTTTCTGCCAAATATAGGATAGATATGGTTTCTGAAACAGACTATCAAAACTAGTTTAATTAATACAAAAGAGGACCTATTTGGGTCAACTGAAAACCATTCTAAAATCCACCCCCTCATTTTTCTTTCCTTTTCTTGAAGTGGATATTTTCTGATTTATTGCCTATAGTTTGATAAGATAATTCTAGTTTATATGAGATGTCTGATCTCCAGACACATCCTGAGATTCTAGATAAATTTGGATGGAAAAGCTTCATGCATTGTACACCAATTACCTCTGCCCTCTTAATGTCTCAAATTCAGTTTATTAATAGTTCCTACCTTCATATTACCCTTTCAATTCCAATGTTTCGAAATATTTTTAATAGCGAATAATTTTTTGCAGATTGCGACTGTAATATCTGCCACTGCAACCTGGAAATTTACTAACATCAGAAGTATTGGTTGGGGATGGACTGGTATAATTTGGTTGTACAATATTATCATTTACATGCTCCTTGATCCCATCAAATTTGCTGTCCGTTATGCTCTCAGTGGACAGGCATGGGGTTTGGTAGTAGATCAAAGAGTGAGTACCTGACTTCACCTTGATTGCTTAATATTGTGAACAAACTTCTCATAAAATATGCAACGGTGATGAACGAAACTATTGTATACCTTTAATCATCATGAACTCCTTAGTAAAGACTGATTTGGTATGCTTTTATCCATCTTACCAGACCGCATTTACCAGCAAAAACGACTTTGGAAAGGAAGCACGTGAGGCTGCATGGGCAACTGAACAGCGAACACTACATGGACTCCAATCTGTTGACGGAAAAATGTTTTCGGAGAGGAACACTTTTAGGGACATTAATCTCATGGCAGAAGAAGCTAAAAGGCGGGCAGAGATTGCAAGGTAAAGCTTACAATGGTAGAGATAATAGCTGAGTTAAATGCTGAGATATAATGAGAATTCATTTGCCTATTTGCTTATCCTTCTGTTTCTTACTTTGGGTTTTTGACATTGCAGGTTGAGGGAGCTTCACACTCTCAAAGGCAAGGTTGAGTCATTTGCCAAGCTTAAGGGTTTAGATATCGATGCCATTAACCAACACTACACTGTCTAACTGCTGTGATCTTGATAGTGATCCCATTCACATTCTCCTTTATACATATACGTTCTTCATGTATTCGTTAACAAATACCAAGTCCAAGCTGGATTTTGAATAAGATTGATGTATTTCCTGATGATATCTATATAACAAGTCAAATGGAAATGCAGTTATTTAAAACATGTGTCGATACGGAGACATTCTCGTTGTCGCTTTTTCTTACAAGAACACCAAACACCACTGGAAACAAGGTTGTGGGCTTCTGTGAGAATGTCACATTCTCATTTGTCTCTCATTCATCTTAGAGCTCATGATGTTTGACACAGTGGAATTGCAGTTATCAAACCACACCACTGCTGCAATGTTCTGTGTAAAACAGAACTTGGTTGAAATCTAGAGGAAAGCACAAAGTTAAACGAGTGTAACTAAAATCTAAAGGCATATACAACATCAAATTGTAGAGGCAACAGGGAAAGAAAAAAGAAGTAATAAATCGATTCAATATTAAATCATCCAAAACCTTAACAGTAGAAGTGATTGGTAATAAGAAAAACACATGTATAGTTGAAACAGAAGAACAAATAAACCAAAAGATCAAGCACACAAACAAATAAAATAACAGTAGAAGCACATACAGATTTTTTTTATTCCATAGTGGTGCCAGACCAACATCAACAGAAATGCAGACTGCACTACAGACTCTACAAAGGGTAGAAGGAGAAGGGAAAAAGCACAGAACACAGAGAAAACAGAGAACAACAGCAGATGCAAAGCCTAATAAGTAAACTCAATTTATTCATTCCAAGCTCTCCCTTTTGGTTATCATCAGTCTGATCATTCCAACAATCTTAACAAACAAGTCCTTCCTCCTTGTGATTGCGACGTGCGCAAGAACCACTCCAATGACCAACCCACTTCCCAATCCCGCCAAAACAAATTTCCAATCAAATTCAAATGCTCCAGCTGAGCCTGAATCATTTTGTTCCACGCTTGAAGGCGGCTGTTGAGGGGTCTTAGTAACTCCGCATTTGTTTTGCAATGGACCTCCACACAATCCAGGGTTTCCCTCATATGAAGTGCTATCGAATGTAGTAAGTTGCCTTCCTTGTGGTATAGGACCTCTAAGATTGTTGTGAGAGACATCAAATTTTCCAGGGAAGGTAAGCTGCCCCAGTTGTTGAGGGATCTCTCCTGAGAGATGGTTGTGTGAGAGGTCTAATGATTCAAGCTGTGTTAAGCTCCCCAATGATAATGGGATGGAACCAGTGAGAATGTTGTTGGACATATTGAGTGAGCGAAGCCCCTTTAGGTTCCCAATAAATTCAGGAATCCTTCCTTCAAATTTGTTGCTTGAGAGATTAATGACCATAAAGTCTTCTCGAATCTTTTGAAAGTATCTCTCCACACCTTTATTTGTTATTGTACTTGAGTACGGAGCATCTATACCAATTACAGGCAAATCATAGACAAATATGGTTGCCCCCATATATGTGGGCTGGTTTAGAGTGATGCCTCTCATGCCATTCCCAGAGAAAATGTATTCAAGTGGAAACTCACCTGTGAAATTATTGTAAGACAGATCAAGAAAGCGCAACTCGAGGAAATGAAGATTCTTTTGGGGCTTGCCTATCACATCATAGAACTCGTTATGGTCCATGGCTAAAAATTTTAACCTTGGGAGAGTCCCAAACCACAAGGGGAAGACGTCATTGAATTCATTGCTTGACAGCACCATAAACTCAAGCATCACACAATTCGCCAATGACCTTGGTAGTTGCCCTTGCAATTGGTTATGACTAACATCAATCATTCTCAGGTTGCTTCTGCTAGCCGTGGTGTATGTTTGAGGAAGAATGCCATGAAAAAAGTTGTTTCCGAGATTTAAAACTTGCAGATCATCACTAAAGTTTCCAAGACACTGCGGAAGCGTGCCACTCAATCTGTTATCCGACAAATCAAGCAACTGAAGCTGACTCAAACTGCAAATCAATGGTGAAACTTGTCCAGTTAAGTAGTTGTTTGAAATTTGATAGTATTGGACGTTTGGCGGAGGTATAGGTAGTTCTCCAAATAGCATGTTGGATGACATGTCGATGTACTTCAAAGTTTCTGTGCTTGCGTTCCAGATCCATTTCGGTACTTCGCCACTTATTTTGTTTCCAGAAAGCCTCAACCACTTCAAGTTTTCTTGATATCTCAGGAAATCTGGGAACCCTCTTAGGTTGCATGAACCCAGTCCTAGACTCCTAAACTGTGGAATAGTTACGTTCATAGTTCTCGATTCAATGAAACTGAGGTGAAGCTTTTCTAGGGTGGTTAAGTTTCTAATGAGGCTTCTCAAATCGGATTCTCTAATACTCAATCCTTCATCATGAAAGGGATCCAGATTGAGAGATAGATCAAGGGATGATAACTTGGACAACTGTGAAAGCTGGGATGGGACTTGACCAAAAAAGACAGAGGCAGATAGTTGAGGTACGTCAGCTGTGGAAAGTTCCCAACGGTAGTAGGAATTTGGGAGTAATTGAAGTTAGTGTGACCAAGGTTGAGCCTCTGGAGATGAACAAGACGGAAGAGGCTACTGCTGGAGTTGATAGATCCATAGAGACAACTGCTACTAAGATCAAGGCTGATCACATGACCCGTCCTCTTATCACACTGGACGCCGCTCCATGCGCAGCAGTTGCTAGTTCCTCCTTCAGCCGTGTTCCACTATGAAACCCTTGGATAAGCACAATTACCCGAAGCAGATTCGTCAATAACAAAGCCCTGCTTGAATTGCAGCAAGGCGGCCCTCTCCTCATCATGGCAAGAATACGGTTTTAAAGAGGAAAAAGCGCTAGCCACCGCCACAAGATGGAACAAAAGAAGTTTCAAAAGCACACACATGGAAGACCCCATAATATATGTTTTGGAACTCTTGATTTTGGACATAGAGTGTTAAGAAAGAATTGAAGTGAAACTGAGGGATATAGACTCAAACTCTTGAGCAGTATATATATCGCAATATTCTTCGAACAAGTTGAGGATAGAGAGTGGAAAACAGCGTGCCTTGCAATTTGCATAGACTTGTAAGAATTAGTTATTGACGTTGGAAGTACGCTAAGTCAAGTCCGCGCCCAGCTTTTGAAATGGGGTGAGGTGAGAGGTTAATAGATCTAATCTTTCATTTCTTATCCTCGTCATGTGCACTAAGTCAAGTAGTATTGACTACTCTGTGCATTAAAAGTCATCAAGAAAACGACATGCAACAAGCTTCATTATTGTTTTGTCCTATGGCAGAATTTTTTTATATAAAAAAACAAAAACAAAAACAAAAACAAAAAAACCACATGTTTTTACTTCCAAATTATTTACCGTTCTTATTCATTTGGTGGAACTTTGGACATGATGGATTTGGACAATGAATCTGCTGTCCTTAGGAGATGGTATGGACAATGAATCTGCTCTCCTTAACAAGGGGGTATATAGTTGGTAGACATAAGGGCTGAGCCACCTTTAGGCCAGCCGGGTGGAAAACAGTGTGCCTTGCATTTTGCATAGACTTGTACACCAAGTCAAGTCCGCGCCGAACTTATGAAATGGGGTGAAGTGAGAGGTTAATATGATCTCATCTTTTATTTCTTGTCCTTTTTTTTTTTTTTGGTTTGATATTTCTTGTCCTTTTCATGTACACTAAGTCAAGGAGTATTGACTACTCTGTTTCTTAAAAGTCATCAAGAAGACGACATGCAATAAATTTCATCTTTGCAACTTGCAAGGCAAGATTTTTAACTCTACTTCTATTAGTCTGGGGTTGTTTTGTCCTATGGCAGAATTTTTTATTTTATTTTATTTTAAATAACATGTCTTTACTTCCAAAATTATTTGGTGGAACTTTGGACATGATGGATTTGAACGAAGAATCTGCACCCTCTAATAAGATGGCTGTGAGACTGTTGGCAAAATGGCAAGTCAAGGAGACAAGGGAACAACTCAACTATATTCTGATGGGAACAACTCAACTATAGTATGATAGGAATACCATTTACAAGGGGGTATATAGTTGGCAGAAAAATGTATCGACAATGTATATTGAGTATATAGGGTTTCTTACAACTTTAGGGTTCTTTTGTTTCTTATTTAAGCCAACTTATGTAGTTGTATTGGGACGTTTTATAATATTATCAATAAAATTCACAAGTTTTTCTCTATTTTTTGGTGGATTCCAATTCTTCTTTTAGGATTTGACATTTGTCGATCTCTTTTATCATATTTTCATGCTTTGTTTGTTTGTTCATTGACTTCCAATTCTCATCAAACCAAAGTTGTCCTTTTGTAACACTTATTGAAGAGGAAGTTCCCTATTCATAGTGGGTGGGTTGTCCTCAGTAACTCGGGGCATAGGGCGTGATTAATGCAACCTAACACATCAAATGGCAGTGAACAAATTTTTTTTTTTTTGGGGTGTTTTGAAGGCATTGAACAGATTAGACCATCTTGGATCTTGCCCACAACGCAATCACTCTACCTGTATAATATTTTGGCTCTTGGGCATCCAATCAATTTTCCATTAATCTTGCCAATGTGGTGGCACATGTGGGCTCCATCTATGCTGATAATGACAACATATGTGTGCCAGGAGGGCATAGAAATGAAACCAAAGTTGCCCATATTTTCATGCTTTGATTGTTAGTTCATTGACTTCCAATCAAACCGAAGTTGTCCTTTTGTAACACATTGTAGAGGAAGTTCGTCTATTCATAGTGGGTGGGTTGTCCCTACTAACTCAGGGCATAAGGCGTGATTAATGCAACCTCACACACCAAATGGTAGTGAACAAATATTTTTGTTCTTTTGGGTATGAAAGCAGTGAACAAATTAGACCATCTTGGATCTTGCCCACTTAGTTTAGTCTCCATCATACGCAAATCACAACGCAATCACAGTACCCTGAACTATACGGGTGATTATACTTTAACGTATATGGCTATCAAAACGTTGCAATATAAACCCTAATATTTTGGCTCTTGGGCATCCAATAAATTTTCCATTAATCTTGCCGATGTTGGTGGCACATGTGGGCACCATCTATGCTGATAGTGACAACACATGTGTGCTAGGAGGGCATAGAAATTAAAATTATCAATAACACTCACATTTCTTTTGTTGAAAAATTATAAAGACTTTTTTTTGGGAGGAGGTGTATCCAATTCATATTTATGAAGACTTTTTTCAAGCGAGTGACTTTCATAGAGTTTGAATTGGATACACCAGAGTCTAAACGTAAATTGAAACCTTAGCTGACCAAATTTATGTGATTTGGGTCGGGTCTCAACTCTTACCTGTACAAAACCGACATCCTTGTAGAATTTTTTTAGAGATTTACTATTCAAACCCCACACTTCTCTTAGTTCACCCTAATACTTAAATCATTAAGCTGTAAGTTTTGTTATTGTGTAAAAAGACAAAAAAGGTCATCACCACACCCCACCACTCTTCATATTAAGTTTTAAAAATATACAAACTCATGTACATCGTATTGCCAGAGATGTAGAACATTGACGAGCATGCCTTTTTAAACTCTGCGTGGGAGCCGATGGAAAGACTTTTTGATTGTTTGGCTGTAATGATCTTATTTTCTTCCCTTTGTTGATTGCTTGGCTGTTGATTGCTTCTTCTTTTTTAATACCTTATGTTTTGGTAAAGTTGTACTATTTCTCTAGAAAGTAATAAATTTCGGATTTGGAATTCCATTTGTTTGTGTTTTTTTTTCTACTGGGAACAGTAATAATAGTCACTTCAGGAATTCCAGTATGCATCTAAAATCATAATCATGCTGCTGCTGCTTCAATAGTTGGGTTATTTTTCTTGTTGCTTTTCCACTCTGATAAAAGCTTCAATGTATTCTCCATTGATGGCCGATCAGATGGCCTACTCCTAGTGCAAAGTGTAGACCTCAAGTACCAGTTTTATCTCCTCTTGCACGGAACGTTCAAAAGAGTTGTCGATTTCAAATGCCAATGAAAATTGACTACCTCATTGTCATTATTAAATACTCTAGAGAGAAAATGATAAAATGTCTATCTTGTGTGGTTTAAATAGAAAATTTCTTTTATTTCTTATTTTTTCAGCTTGGGGTATATTTAAGGGTAGTTTAATAAAATAGTGGGGTTTTCTTAGAAATTATTAAAATTTAAATTAAAAGTTAAGATGAACTTGGAATATAAGGTGAACTAAGAGAAGAGAAGTGTTTTAAATAGAAAATCTCAAAATTTATTTAAAATAAAAAAAGGAAACCCCGCCATTCAACTGACAGGGAAGCAAAACTGAGAGAGTTGTATGATGAGAGAGCAAGTATGGAGATGGAGCTCATTAGAAAGAAAATGCTTACACCTTCTCCAACAAACGAAAACAACACCCTCACTTCTCCAAATACACGCCTTCATGCTCCGAAACTCCCTCGAAACAAATGTCAATCTCCTCACCAAATTCATCACAACCTGCGGTTCCATCGCCCTTTTCGCCTCTCATCAAAACACACTTGCTCTGATTCGACATGGTCGCCGCGTCTTCAATTACAGACCCAATAAAGATGACACATTTTTCTGTAACTCTATGATCAGAGCCCACACGGATATGCGCCAATTCGCTGAATCTTTCACTCTCTATAGAAATCTTAGGAAGGACACGGGTTTCAAGCCCGATGGCTACACATTCACAGCTTTGGCAAAGTCGTGTGGTTTAGATGTGGCCGTCTGGGAAGGGCAAGAACTTCATTGTCATGTTGTTAAAGTTGGTTTGTGCTTAGATTTGTATGTGTCGACTTCAGTGGTTGATATGTATGCAAAGTTTGGGAGGATGAGTTCTGCAAGTAAGTTGTTCGATGAAATGACGGAGACAAGTCGAGTATCGTGGACAGCTCTCATTTGTGGGTATGCAAGGTTAGGAGATATGGGTAATGCAAGGAGGCTTTTTGATCAAATGCCTGAGAAGGACTTGGCTGCATTTAATGCTATGATTGATGGTTATGTCAAATTGGGAGATATGGGCCCTGCTCGAAGTTTATTTGATGAGATGACGGATAGGAATGTGGTATCTTGGACCAGTATGATGTATGGTTACTGCCATCATGGTGATGTACAATCTGCTAGATCACTCTTTGATGCCATGGCTGAGAAGAATCTAATTTCTTGGAATGTGATGATTGGGGGTTACAGTCAAAACAAACAGCCCCACGAAGCCTTGAAATTATTTCATGAACTGCAGTCAAATACGTCTCTTGAACTGGATGGCATGACTGTTGTTAGCATTCTTCCAGCTATTGCAGATTTGGGTGCCTTGGATTTAGGTCGTTGGGTTCACAAGTTTGTACGAAGGAAGAAGCTTGATAGGGTAATCAACATCTGTACTGCGCTTGTTGATATGTACGCCAAATGTGGTGAAACTACAGAGGCCAAAAGACTTTTTGATGAGATGCCTGAAAAGGAAACAGCTTCTTGGAATGCCTTGATAAATGGGTTTGCAGTAAACGGCCATGGCAAGGAGGCACTGGAGGTATTTTTAGAGATGCAGTGCAAAAAGTTTATGCCGAACAATATAACCTTTATTGGTGTTTTGTCTGCTTGTAACCATTGTGGTCTGGTAGAGGAAGGGAAAAGATGGTTTAAAGGAATGGAGGGCTTTGGGCTTATCCCGCAAATTGAGCATTATGGTTGTATGGTTGATCTTTTGGGAAGGGCAGGATGCTTGGAGGAAGTTGAGAAATTGATTGAGAGCATGCCTTATGATGCTAATGGAATAATTTTGAGTTCTTTTCTTTTTGCATGTGGCCATTCTGAGGATGTCACAAGGGCCAACAAAGTTTTAAAGAAGGCAGTCAAAGTGGAGCCATGGAATGATGGAAATTATGTCATGCTCAGAAATTTGTATGCCAAGAAGAGAAGGTGGAGTGATGCAGAGGAAATTAAGAGGTTGATGAGGAAGAATCGAGCAAATAAAGAGGTTGGTTGTAGTGTGA